CCCAGCCAGCCTTACTGGCTGGGGGATTCTTGGAGTTGAAGTCCACCCATCTTCAAGGCGCTGCGGTTGAGCAACACTGGTGTCGAGCAGAGGTTGGTGAATATAAGCCGCATTTCACAGCTGCTGGCTTTGGAGGCTGGCAGAGACGGTGCTCAAGTCGTGTGAAGTCCCTAGTACGAATTCTGTCATCTGAATGCGTTTCTCCCGCTCTGTAGAGTGCAGAGAACATACTGATGCTTAAAGGGGCTCCAGCTCCTGCCTGGCGTTGGGCTACACGGCTCCTTCCTCCTCCTCCTCCTCAGTTGCGGTGAGTCCCGAGAAAAGAAGCCGGGCCCAGGCTTCTTCGGGGAGCGAAGGCAGCCCCTTCGCGCCTGCAGGGGGTCCCCTTTCTTCTTTATTGCTTTATGGCTTCCTTCTGCTTTACTCCCCCCTGCTTTGGACCTGCAGCCGCGGCGCTGGGGTTGCTGCGGACGCACGGAAGTCGTTTGGTGCATCGAATCCAGATCTGCTTTTGAGGCAGGGCTGCGGCAGGTGCTGGAGGCCCACCGTGACGTGGGGCCGTAATCCGTCTTTGGGGGCAGGTTGGTTGGGGAACGGGCTTTTCCCTTTCCGGCAGGCCGGCAGGGTGCCTGGGCTCCTGTGGTAGAACAGCCCGGTATCTCTGCCTGTGCTGCACTGCATTGTGACCTCATCAGTCGTCCATCAGAGCTGCTGGCTGACCCAGGCACAGCTTTTGCTGGTGGGGCCTCTCGGAGGAGGGGGACCGGGAAGAACGCATTTGCGGAGGTCTGGCTTCCCCAGGAGGAGGCTTCCGCGTAAGCACGAGGGGGTGGCGCTGGATCTGTTGGCCGAGCAGAGAGCGCTAGCCTGCCAGGCTGGAAACCCTGTTTCCTTGATAAGCATCCCTGGCTGAGTCAAGGGTTGTCGTTATGAAGCCTCTCTACAAAGTGCAGCATTTAGGAGTACACTCTAAAACGGTGGCACTCGGCCCGCAAAGCCTTAGGCCGCCACTAAAGGGCCGTAACACTTTGAGGGAGACCGCAAGGTGTTTTCCGAAGACCCAATGTCTTGCACTTCTCACCGTTGCTCTGTATAATGAGAAGCCTGGGGAACCCGGGGGGAGCGCCAGAATGCCAAAAGGCATCTGCTCCTATCCCAAATTCCTAATGCCAGGAATAAACATATAAAACTAGATGACTGTTGGATAGGTAAATCTGGAGTTTTGAGGGAGCTGTGGGTGCGCTCACAAAATGGCTGCCTTCAACAGGATGACCAGTCACGAAACGACAGCTTCACAGAAGAATGGCAAGTGAAACTGCCCTCCCACCATTTTCTCTATATTATCACACTTTACTTTGCTTTTGGGGGGAGATATGCATGTGCCTTTCCAAACAAAGCACTGGGTTGCGGCCATGCGCCGTTTTCAGTTTCATAAGAATTCTTCATGATTATAGGCAGGAGCCAGAAGCGACCTTGGAAATAAATTCCATACTTGACGGTGGTGCTTTGCACTGTGCTAACTCCCTTCTTAATTTTTTTTTTTAAACTTAAATCAGGTACGATACAGAACTTGGAGACCTCCTTATTAGAAACCCAGCGGTTACAGTTTGAAGGTCCTGTGAGTTCACCCAACCAGGTAGACATCAGTGGCAAGGATGGTGGTTAGTGGTAGTCTTCAGCACGTCAGCAACGTGCAGCCCTGTTTTTGAAGCCCCAAGATAGAGTTGAGTAGAAACTCCCCAAATTCCTATCCTTCACAGTTTTATAGAACCAGTACCTCTGGGAAGCCCAAGGGTGAAACATCTGGACTAAATTAATGTTGCCTCTTTTCCAGCCCCCAAATTCTATGTAAAGGTGTGGAATTTAAATAATACCATTGGTGCATCATACTAGGCACCTTCTCATGTTGCTGTTGTTACTGGCACGTCTGTCCCACTTTTTCTGGGAGGTCTCAAAAGTCGCTTACTTTGGCTCCCCCCGGTTTCATCTGTACAGCAGCAACCCTGGCCGCTCAGAAGTGTGACAATTCCCTGAGATTGCTGTTTGAGTGAATAGGGTGCCTGAAATGTTGTGCAATGTCATTGCTATATTTTTGGTTATCAAGCAGTTTGTTGCATAATCTAATTAATACATCCTTGGTTGTCAGACTATAAAGGTCCTGCCTTTGCCACCCCACCCCCCTTCTTTTTAACTAGATCTGAAGCACAATTAATTGTGGCTTGCTGTGATGCAGTAGCGCTGTAAAATGGCTAAGAGAGTGGCAGAGAAGGAGCTGACTGACAGAAACTGGGATCAAGAAGAAGAAACCGAGGAGGTAAACAAGGCCGAGGCTTGCTTTCATTAACTTAGAGCAGCCGTAGGCAGAGTTCACAAAGTATGTCACAGCATTTTTGGTAGGTGAGAAAAAAAATATTTTGCGAAACTGAGAAGGTAATGGGCCAGTCTGTCCTCTCTTTCCTGTATGTACCAAGAGTCAAGACCAAAATATTCACGGGAAAATCCGTTTCATATAGTTTGTCTCTATGTGGAAGGTCTTACCAGTGTCTTGGCATTGTAGTATTAAAGTTGACTTGTCTTGTGTAGTGAAAACAAAAATAAATTAATGCAGACTTTATTGGCAAGGCATACTGATTATAACTGGACTCATTGTAAACATGGACAATTCTGGACTTCTCTGCTTTCTTCCTGATGACGCAGAAGCAGCTTCTTTAAACCTTATATTGTCTGCTACTGAGTTTTGGCCTCACCAATGAGAGAATCAAGCCAAAAAGTAGCTCTCGCTTCTTTTAAGCGCTTCTGTGGTGAGCAGGGGAGGGAGATCACACATTTGTGCTGAACCCCAGGTAGGGCATGGTGGTGTAGCCTGCTTGGGTCTTTGTGCAGTGGCATTGCCTTCAAAATCTCATGAGATTTTGATGGTCTCGCCCCAATACCTTGTAAGGATTCAGCCTTCTCAGATGCCAGGGGCCAGTCTGGAGCCCGTGGACGTCATATTTTTCTCTGGTAAGCATATCGTGCAAATGAGTTGGAAAAGGGCTGAGTTTCTTCCCTGGGATCGGTGCTGAGGTCTTGGTAGTGGTGGTTTTCACAATGTTTAGTCAAAATGGCTTGTCATATAGATCAATAATCTTTAAAACATCTATTTCTATTGAGAATATTACCAGCGAAACACACTCTTGGAAAAACAGTGTCTGTAATTAGGATTGCTTCTATTCATTTGGTAATTGTGCTTCAGTTCATGTTAAAGTGCTTGCAGTTTCAAGCAACATAACAGCTACAGGGGAAAGCTGCTATTAAAAATCATTCTTTGACATTAAATCAACATGATTCTGACTTTTGAATTGTCCAAACAAATCTGAACGTTGTGAATGCTTCCATTTTGCCCTGTGAATTGGTTAGTATTCCAAGCAGTGGTGTGAGCTTTCTAGAAAATTTTGATTTAAGTATCCTGTACCTATACCTTCCATGTCTTCCAACATTTTGTCATCACTTAATTTGATTAAAATGAAATGAGTAAATCATACTTAGGCCGCAGTCCTGTGATCCCTGGGAATACATGCTATGGACCACACCATAATTCAGAATTACATCTTGGGGGAAATCTGTTGATTCCTTCTTTCTTCATCTGTTATGGCGTGAGTTTTATAATTGCCTAAATACTTTGGCTGTGCGTCCAAGTTACTCTTCTGTTTATAAGCAAAACCCGCCAATGCGATATAGCATGACGAGTTTGGCCTGGCGCTGGCAAGACCCACATTCAAGTTCCCGCTCAGCCTTGGACCCCCCTTGGGGGACTTAGAGCCATTCATGCTCTCCTTCTCAGCCCAGTCCACCTCACTGTTGCTGTAGGAAAAAAATTAGAGGAGGGGTCACTGTACCCCACCTAGAGCTCTTTAATGTAAGGTGGGATATATATATTAAAGGAGGAAGGAATTCTGTAATAAAAACTAACATGAATGGTGGAATCTCTTAGAGGACATCCTTGTTATCTATAAATAGGAATAATTACAGTCTTTCTGAAGGCAATTTAATGGTTTCTAAAGTTCATTGGGTAAATTAACAATAAATATGCTTCTTACAAATAATGACTAATTTGAGGGGAATCTGTCAGTTGACATCTTTTGGGAAATATTTATGGATAACATTTCCTAAATATTTTGAGCAAGTCAGTGAGCAACTATGATACCCACAAATGATTCATAAGTAATCATCTGGAATGATGCTATAAAATTTGAATATGCCAAGAAGGGCTTGCATGTTGTAATATAATATTGAACCTCATGGTGCTAATAATGAATGATTATGTCAAAGAGCTGGAGCAAGAAGATGGGTTTTGCTGGGAGTTTTTGTTTTTCAGACTACTTTTATTTTGCTTGTCTAAGAATTTAACATTCTCTGCAGGTAGGAACTTTCTCAGTGGCCAGTGAGGAAGTTTTGAAGAACAGAGCAATTAAGAAGGCAAAACGTAGAAACGTGGGGACTGAGGTACATACATAACTATCATTTTAAAATAAGCTTTCTGCTAATTTGTCTAATCCCTTGTATTGCCTAAAAATCGTTTGTCACTGAATGCTAGCTTATTATGTAAACAGCATTCTTACTGAATAATGAACAACAAACGCAGACTAATATATGGTTGAATTTGTTTTAAATCTTTGATGCAAAATGTCATTTGAAATTCTAGAAAATTCGTAATACGTGAAATGTCTCTCTGGGGGAGCATTTGAAGAGGGCAAGAATTCTGGAAGATTTTCAGGTTTCTATCCATCATTGTTTTTCTAACAGCTAGGGAAGAGAGAAACTTCTTTCTGTTGTCAGGTCCAGCTATTAAAAACCTAGATCTTCACTGTTCGTATGGATCACTTACACTAAATAATAACAAAGTTGACTCCCTCTCCCAGTCTACGTAACCCTGTCTCATCCAGGAAAAAATCAATTACCTTTTATCAGCACCTTGTACTTTTTAATAATAATACTTAGTTAGTAGAATGCAATATTTTACTTTCTTCAGAATTCTATTTATTCCAAGCAGTTACTCAACTTTTATTCTATGCATAACTGAACCATCTGAATTAGAAAGCCAATATATATGGAATTAAAAAATACTGTTATTTAACAATTATTTTATTCCTGGTGGTTCATGGTGAATCCCATGCCCTTTTCCTAAACTCTGTTTATGAGCATATGAAGAAGCTGGGAGAATGAGCAGGTTCCAGGGGCTAGGCTAATGCTGCAGGTCAGTCTGATTTTGTGATGGAATGGAATTATGAAGGCCACACTCAGGGAGGCAAACATCCTTTTTCGTCTCCAGAAGGGCGAGGAAGAGATAAGAGGATGAGGCTGGCACCTCCCTGAGGAATTCACTCTGTTTTCACAGCTACTGTGGGAACAGAGTTTCAGTCTGGGAAGATTCTTGATAGAGGTTGTGGCTAATAAACATTGCTGATTGGTGTCAGGCCTAGCCCAAGGAACTCCAGGAGACCACGCAGATTCAGTTCAGCAATGTTTATTAGCCACAACCTCTATCAAGAATCTTCCCAGACTGAAACTCTGTTCCCATAGTAGCTGTGAAAACAGAGTGAATTCCTCAGGGAGGTGCCAGCCTCATCCTCTTATCTCTTCCTCGCCCTTCTGGAGATGAAAAAGGATGTTTGCCTCCCTGAGTGTGGCCTTCATAATTTCAGCAATGTTTATTAGCCACAACCTCTATCAAGAATCTTCCCAGACTGAAACTCTGTTCCCATAGTAGCTGTGAAAACAGAGTGAATTCCTCAGGGAGGTGCCAGCCTCATCCTCTTATCTCTTCCTCGCCCTTCTGGAGATGAAAAAGGATGTTTGCCTCCCTGAGTGTGGCCTTCATAATTCCATTCCATCACAGATTTCCAAATCTAGGTGGGATGGTTGCCTCCTTCAAACTGAAGCCGAGCATTCCCTAGCTTGTGAGCATTGCTGCGCACAGGTCATCCTTAGAATTAGGTGCTCACGTGGCCTTTTCAGTCATTTGTAACTTAATGTCTGAAGAGGGCTGGAATAGCTGTGTGTTACTCTTAAGGATGTGCAGAACGTTTTGAATTCAAAACATTTCTCTTTCAGCTGTAAGGTCAGAACAACCTGCTTTTTAAATAAGAACTAGGCATTTAGAAACAAAAACATTTTCCCTGCTCTGAGTAACTATTGGTTTGTCTTTGTACCAGCAGGAACAGTCATCTTTCGGTGGCTCACAGTCTTTATTTTTGGGTCAGGGGATTGGCTTACAGTTTGTTGTTGATGCTATTCTCCCTGAGATGGAGTGATTTTTAGCAGTCATCCAATATGATTTGAATGATACATTCATACCTATCTATCTGGATCTACCTGTCTACCTACTTCCTAAGTCCCAGTGCTTAACAATGCTAAATCATGTTTGAACGTCTTTAACTAAAAGGTTTTATGTTGATGCTGAGTAATGATAGAAGGGTTTATGTGTTTCCTCCCTCCCCCCCCCCCCCCCCCCCCACTGGTTCACACCTACAGAATCACTGGATGATAAATACATGCCAGAACTGGGTTTAACAAAACGTTAAGTATCCTCTGGACCAGAGTGGCCACACTTTGAACTCTAGGTCCAACAGCAGGTACCGTGTGATGTCCTGAGCATCCCTCAAAAAATAAAAGTGGCATGAGTCTGGTTTTTTAAATTTTTACTTTGGAGGGATTCTTGGAGCTCTGGTGGGTGCCATTTTGGGGGGTCCTGTCCGAGATATATTGAGTTAAGGAAGGCATCCTTCCATGGACGAAGTGACATCTTGTTTAAGGCAGCGGCTGAAATAACTTCTAAGTGCCCAAGAAACAAAAGTTGGGAGTGATAAACCAAGAAACCCATTTCGGATGTAACACTAAGCTTTTGTCTTTGAACTAGCTTCTAATTACTGGGGGAAAGAGGAGCTGTGGCCATCAGGAGTATCTGGGGTTTGGTCTTCTCCTCACTTGCAAATGCAGCCAACGTGAAAAATTTCATCCCTTCTGAATGTGCCCAGGATGGGCTTGTAATCTGTGAGCTGCCACGTGAGAAGCGCAGGGCAACTTTTTTTTTTTAATTCTTTTTCAGTCTGAAAGCGGTGGAGCTTTTAAGGGATTTAAAGGTTTCGTTTTACCTTCTGGAACGGGTGCTTTTTCTGGTTTTGGCAACGGCCCGGGAACAAAGCCTTTAGGAGGATTATCCAACGGTGGTGGTAGCTCCAGCAGCGTTACAAACAGTTCTTCGCTCTCCAGCTTAAAGACGACTTCAGAAACCCAGCCTGCATTTAGTAAGTTCGTTCTTTCTTTTTACTGGAGGAAGAGAATCTTAATATCTTCAGATGAAAATGATAGAAAAGTGCTCTGTGCTTAAAAAGGAAGGATTGGGTTAGCCTGGGCCTCCTGAGGAGAACGTTGTGTTTAACCCAGTGGCAAAGAGCATTTTTGAACTCAAATCCAGTATCCAGAATTGCTCCCCAACTTTTGGGGGCCTGTTTGGAACTTGGAGGGTGCGCCGTAAAACCCACCCTCGGTCTCACTGTTATTCGGCAAGATCCTTTCTTGGAAGGACTTTCGTTGCAATGTGTGTTTTGCATCCTTTAAAAAAGGACATCTTCTAAGTCACATTTGGATCATGCTCTTCACACCTTTCCAGAAATAACAGACAACAGTTGCTAGACAAAATAGAACTTCTGTCTGAGATAGAAAACAAGTATTCATGCTCTTTTGTTTCTAGGAAATACTAATCAACTGGATCCCATTTTAATTCAAATAGAGCTGTCTAAATCAGGGGATTGATTGAGTCTGGATCCAGCTCATAAGAGGATTGAAAACAAGGTTCATGTAGATTTATGTAGGTTTGCATGGGCTCAGTGACGATCACAGGACTTGGATAGAGGGTGACCCTAATTCCAGGGCCTGTGATAATCTGCTTGCTTGTCTCTAAATTGCATGAGAGGCCCTCTATTATATTCAGGTTTCCTTTTCAAGCCAGGTCATTTTTAAAGAGATGTTTACTATAATGGGATAATTTTTTAAAAACCCATCTATTTTACCTGCCTTAATATCCTCAGTTCTGATTGTTATGGTAATTGAAATTGGGTCTCAGTGGAAGAATGATGCAGTGATTTCCAGTCTCATGCTGCTGTTAGCTGCCTTTCATTTTCATTAGAGATCGGGATGGTATTCTCAGTATAATAAATTTAGCAGAGACGTTGGGGGGGAAAAGACATTACAGCAGCTTTACAAATAAGCCCCTAGAAGCTAGAGTTTTTGGGTTTTTTTACTAGATTGTTAAACGTTTATAACTGCATTTCTAATGATGGCTAGGGGGCAGTTAAACCTTCCTTCTCTGTGACTGGCATGGAAACAGAGGTGATAAATGCTATCTATCAACCAATGTGGAATTCCTTCCTTGGTCAGCCAGCCTGTCGCGTTTTATGGCTCGGCCGTGGAAGAAGACGCCTTCCTTCTTCTACTGTGAACGTGTGAGTGAAGAAGGCTGGCACAGTAAGGCGTATGATCCCTCGGCCTTCCACCAGTCCTCTCCCGTCCCTAAAGGAGAAGGCCTGATTGCCTTGTGGCTATGAGGCTGTTTCCCGGGTCTCCCGGACCCCCTTTATGCTTGTTCTAGGATTGTGCTCCTGACAGTCATCTATAAGTTGCCCACAATCAAAAGGGTAATTTCCCACTGGTTTCCAGCAGAAAAGTGAAGAACAGCGTGCATTATAGGTTTGTTTAGGCTTAGTTCACCGGAAGCCTTTATCCTTGAGAAACACACTGGAATCAAGGTTCTCCAAAGCTTACATCGTGAAGCTATCAACATGCTCCTGCGTCCACTTACATTAATACTACAAAATACAACCCCTGAAACGGGAAAAATAAATAAATAAATTGCCCAATCTTGGTTCAAAGGCAACATCACAGTATTTGTTAAGATGCATTATGCAAAGAGGTAAGATCGTTAGGAAGAAAGTAATGTGATTTAATTTAATAGAATTGTCATTACTGTTTTAATAATTCTGATGTCTTTGGGATGCTGGACGCAAATCTAAATATTCTTTAGGTTTTCTGTTTGTTTTTTTTCCAGTATTTTAATTTGCTATCAGAATGCTGGCCTCACACTTGTTGGGGTGGTGTAGCTTCAAGATAAGCAGCTAGATTTTGGAGGCCTCTCACCACGTTTTAGAAAAGGGTGACTCTCTACGGTTGTGGTCTGTAATCGTGGTCATTGGACGTTTCCCTCTTTTAAAGGTCCTGTGGTCTCCAGCGGCTCCGTGAATAATGTTACAGTTGAAAAAACATCTGCATGTGTGGAAGCAAATGGCGAGAACCCACAGCCCTTGTCCTCTGGACTCACTCAGAGCAAAGCCTGCAACTCGGAGAGTTATCATAAACAGTTGGCCGCTCTCAATTGCTCTGTGCGGGACTGGATAGTCAAACACGTCAATGCCAATCCGCTCTGTGACCTGACGCCGATCTTCCGTGACTATGAGAAATACTTGGTTGAGATAGAACAACACGGCCTTGGCAGCGACAGCCGTTCTGGCAGCGGCGGCAGCAACGCCCCCGAAGCTCAGCCTCGTCCTGCGTTTGGGAGCTCGGCTCTTCCGCAGGGCACCGCGTTTTTCTTCAACAGCAGCAAACCTGAGGATATGTCTGGGAAGAAAACAGAATTGGAAAAGAAAACAGAACTCAAGCTAGGGACTGCCTCCTCAACCGCCTTGTTTGCTTTCGGCAAAAGTGACAACGCTGGCCTGAGTTCCGGGGCAGGGTCTGGATTTTCATTTTCCACTGGAAACGGAGGTTTGTTTGGCAAAGATGCAGGCCAGCCCAAGGCAGCGCCTTCCTTTTCCAATAATGCATTAGATGCCCAGATTGAAAGCAGCAGCAATGAAAAAGGTAAAGATGATGCGTTTTAGAGACTGAGAAAGGGTGTCGTTCCATTTAACCCTCCGATGAGAATCTCGCTGATACGTCCCCATTCATATTGCAGAGTGCCTGTTGCTACCTTTGTTTGGGGGGCAGCTCTCAAGGTTCACGAATGGGGGGATAAGGAACGGCTGCATGTCCTTCAGTGTCCAGAATGAAGCGAGGCACCCTTTGCCCTGATCTCTCTCGGTTGCAGAGAATCGAAAGAGAGGAGGGCCAGGGCGGAGTTCTTTGGCCTGTGTGGGAACATTTTGTAGCCCCAGGTTGCTTCTCACCACCCACCAAGCGTTCAGAACCAACCAGGGCAATGTTTCTTAACCATGTCAACTTTAAGATGTGTGGACTTCAACTCCCAGAATTCCCCAGCCAGCCATGAAGTCCACATGTCTTAAAGTTGACAAGGTTGAAAAACTGGCTCCTGCTGGCTGAGGAATTCTGGAAGTTGAAATCCACGCATCTGGAAGTTGTCAAGGTTGAGAAACTTTGGTCTAGAAGCTGGGCCAGTGACTTTGCCTGGAACCATTTGGTGGAATCCAGGACCAATCCTACACTCCCTCCACCCCCTGCCACACATCTTAAAGTTGCTGAGGTTGAGAAACACTGAACTAGGGTGTCTTTTGTGTTTGTGTCTCCAAACTATGGCAAGAAGTCTAAGACTGGCCCAGTCTTTCCCTGGAGTCCTCTTGACATACGCAAAGGACTCGAGTTATTTGTGCCTGCACATAAAGGATGAGGACAAGAAGGACGGGCTTTTCAGCCAGTGAAAATTCTTTCTGTGCTTGCTTCTGGATTTCGAGGACTTGCAAATGCTGAGGATGGGGAGTGGGGCTGTTGCGTATTCATTTACGCCCCTTTCTCGTTGGGAACAAAGCAGTTGTATTCTAGAAGCGTGTAAACATTTTGAATGTACACATTTCAAATTCAAAAATGGGATATTCCAACTTAACAGAGGCATTCCAAAGTAGAAATGGTTGGAAGTGAGCTCGATATGATTGAAACAGTAACAGATTGCTGGCATTTAGGTTGGAACAGCTGTTTTAAGCTTGAAACGTTTCGAAATATAAAATGTTTTGCATGACTCAGAAATATTTCCATATATTTTCGTTCAGGTCCTTCAGGCAACAAGGTTTTGACATATAGTGGTACAATTTCTCAAACAGTAAGGTTTCTGGCTTGAAGTATAATTCTGATCTGAAATAGTTTTCCCAACAGGGGGTGATGAAGAGGAGGAAGAACCACCCAAAGTAGTCATTAATGAAGTAAAAGAAGAGGATGCCTTTTACTCAAAGAAGTGAGTTGCCTTTGGGTTTGCAAGTAAAGTTACAGGTAGTCCTCGAGTTATGACCATTTGTTCAGCAACCGTTTGAAGTTACGACGGTGCTGAATGAAGAGAGTTATGACTGGTCCCCGAAGTTACGACTGTTGCAGCGCCCCTGTGGTCACGTGATCGCAATCTGGGCACTTGACAACCTGTTCATGCTTATGACCGGTCAGCCAAGCGCCCCGCAATCAGGTGATTTCCATTTGCAACCTTCTTTGCCAGCTTCCCACAAAGTCAGTGGGGAAGTCAGGGAAGGTCACAAGTCGCTGGGGTAAGTCTCCCTCACCTGTGTGCCCTCCCCAGCCCCTCTGTGCTTGTGCCATGCCGGCCACTCGCACACTCTATCTGACCTGCGCTGCATCCCTGTGCATCCTCACCCACACAGCGCCTCTCATACACCCACACACCCTTCCTGACCTGCGTGGCGCCTCTCGCGCACCCTGTCACACCCCTCCTGACCTATGCAGCACCTCTGGTATGCCCCTGCGACCCCTCCCCATACCCCCTCCCCGCGCACCCCCTCACTCCCTGCCCCACCCGGCAGCAGCCACCCTACCTGCCTGCGGGCCTGGAACTTGCAACTTCCTGCTGGCTTCCTCACTGACTTTGGTTGTGGGAAGCCAACAGGAAGTTGCTTCGCTTAACGACCTGCAATCCTCGCTTAACAATGGCGACCAGGACTGCAGAGATTGCCCTCACTAAGCGATGCGGTTGTGCTTTATGACTACATTGGAAATTCCAGTCCCAATTGTCATTGTAAGTTGAGTCCCAATTGTCATTGTAAGTTATACAGGTACCCTTGTACCTGTATAACATCATATGAGGTGACCTCCATTGCCTTAAGTTGTTGTTGTTGTTTAGTCGTTAAGTCGTGTCCGACTCTCCGTGACCCCATGAA